AATAACTTAATTAAATAAGACAGAATTAAAATTTTATTTTGAAAAAATAATTTATTAATATTTATCTAATATATTAATCTTTTTATATCAAATTATAATGATAAATTAAAATATCTTTTAAAAATCTTCTAATTATAATATAAAAATAAAACTTTATAATTAATATATTAATTCTTGAAAATACTAAGTATAATATTCTTCTTGATAATATTTGAATATTAAAATATAAACTATTCTAAATTAATTAATTATTATTTTATTCTTTATTAATAATAATACTTAATAAAATATTTTAATTACTTATACTAATTAATATATATTAGTTACTTAAAAATAAGAAGTTTTTATTTATAATAACTTTGATCTAAATAATTATTACTTTCAAGATTTAGATAAAGAATAGAGAATTAAAATATAGAAAAATAATTTTTACTATATATTAGTAAAGAATTATATGATTAAAGAATAATTAAAATTCAAGTTAAAATTTATTAAATTCAAATTAATAATCAAACTCATAATAATTTTGATCTAGATTATATTAAAAAAAAGTATTTAGATGATTTTTTATTTAATAAAAAATAATAATAATATATTCAAGAATAAAATATTTATTAATAACTAGAAATTATTCCAGAGCTAATATATAATATTATTAATATAATTATTAAATTAATCTTATTTTTTAATAGCAAGAATAATTATAAAGTCTTTTTGATGAGTATATTAATTTATTTGATATTACTATATCTGGTCATATTAATATTATACAATATGAAATATATCTAAAAAAAAACTCATCTCATCACTCTCAAATCTTATACCAGAAAATCATTAAAAATCAGTTTCTTGAGAAAAAAATTCAGAAGATATTAGACTAAAATATTTGATCTCAGTAATTATAATAAAGAAAAATGATAAAATACTACTTTGAAAGTAAATGTTGGATTTTTGTTCACCTGTGTAATACAGAAAATAATCGTCACTTATATCAAGTTACATTATATCATTGTCAATTGCTAAAAAATCATTTTGGTAAATTTTTCGGACATAACAACATGCTAAATTCATTTGATTATCTATTTACACATGATATCTATAGACAATTATATACATGTACATGTACATCCATCAATTTAAATGTCAATCCATTGATATAAAAGCTGCTCTTTCTCTTTTCAAAAACTAATCATACCCAGGGACAAATTTCTCAAGATTTAAGTCACACGCATGCGGATGCTTATAACAAAATTTCGGTTGCAAGGGTGCAGCACCAACACCACGCGATACTAATCTTTCTCGATAATCATTTATTCGTTGTTGCATCTCGCGATACCGTTTTTTGCCTTCCTCATTTTTATTTCCGCTCCATAATAATTCGGCAAGTGCGGCAGTACGTGGCCATATTTTAGCATCCATTACCACACTATCAGATTGTTCGGACCATAGTGCAACTTCGCCACCGATAACGTGTTTTTTCTCCTCAGCAGTTAGGTTGAAGTCGATATCATAACTATAGATGCGTTGCCATGTTTTGTAGCCGTTGCACCATGAGCCACTGCTACCACCAGCGAAGTTGAATAAGACTAGAAATGCAATAAAAATAAAATGAGTTTATTCATAAACTTAATGTTTGAAAAAATAAATTGTATACTTACTTTTTCCATTGTCAACATTTTGGTCATATCGATTATCGTTACCAACCCAACCACCATTTCCACAATCCAGATAAAACCAATCAGATGATGTTACAATCACATCATACCCACTCGACGTGATTTTCTTTGTATTATTCACACCATTGTTCCATGTTTGTAGGATCACTTCTTTTGGTACCTTATTAGCGGCAAAATCATCTGATAGAAAAACATCTTCCCACATAATGATATGTTTACTGCCATACTTTTTGTCAGTGAAGATTGGATACGCGCGGTCCAAAAAGTATTGTGCAAGATCACCGTAGGTGTTGTTTGGGTTCTGTTTGAACCAGTTGACGGTCAGATTAGAATAAGCGTAACAGTATCTTTGTAGTTCGTCGAAACCGGCGTGATATAGTTTATCAGGGAACGCGGCGGAAACTTCGGCAAAGATGTTTTTGATAACTTCATATGTTTTCGGGTTGATAATATCTAATTGACCTGGCGGTGGTTCTACAGCGCTGTGATGTGGCCAATCGTCGTTTGACCACCAGGCATTGGCACATGCTACAATGGAAGGATCGATTTGTAGGTAACCAGCGCGCGCATGTCCAGGCATATCAAACTCTGGAATAATTCGAACACCACGTTCATGAGCGAATTCAATTACGTCTCGTACATCTCTAGGTGTATAAATTTCACGATTAGAGTATGCATCATTTGTCATTGCTGGATAAGCCTTCACTTCTATGGGCCATGATTGTGAGTCGACAATATGCCAATGCAAGACATTCAATTTACTCCACGCAAGAGCTTCGATAGTTCTCAAGATATCTTTGACCGGGTAGAAATGACGTGCAGTATCCAATAACAGGCCACGATGTGGGTATAAAGGCGAATCTTTAATTAAGACGGTACGTTCAATGATTAGCCCATCTTTTCCGTCCGAGATCACTATTTGTGTTAGTGTGTTGAACGCGTGTAATGCACCCCACACAGTCGGTGATGTAATTATCAGCGCGTCCTCTTTCACTTCCAACGTGTATGATTCGTCAACACCGTGTTGCAATTCTGCAGTTGGATTGGAGACGTTGACATTTACTGATTTGACTGTCAAATTGTCTTTAGTTGGAGTAGTTGTGGTAGTATTGTTAGTAGCACTAGCAGTTGTGGTAGTAGTGTTAGTTGAATTAGTAATAGCAGTCGAGTTTTCGGATCGAACTTCAAAAATGCTACGTTTACGCTTATCCCCTGGAGTTTGAATCTTTGGTGGGAATGGATTAGAAGCCGGTGGCTCAGCTTCTACTGCTTGTACCACCCATCTATCATGTTTAATCAATTTCAATGCACGTTTCCATCCAAGTGTCACAATGGATGATGACGACGACATAAGTTGTATATTTAGCGGGAAACTGATTGGACCTTTTTCTCCCCATTTTATCTCGCGCGGCTTCGGCAGCGGGTTTACTGTGACATTGGCACTAATCACCGAAATCGTAGTAAACGCAAGAAAGACAACGAGAAAAATTGGTGCTGTCCGTGCTGTTATTATGCTATTTTTTAACTTCATTATTTATTAATTAACGTCTATTTTTATATAGTGTTGTTTTTCTTTTATCGAGTACGTTTTAGTTCTTTGAAAATAATAACTTTTATTATTGTTATTATTATTATGAATCAAAAGAAAAGGAAAAGGAAAAGAGAAAGAAAAAAATAAGCGGTGTCCAAAAAAATAAGAAACGATCGTTATTTTTTTCTTTAATATTATCCAACTATGGCCTAGCTGTTTTCTATATTATTTGAATTATTTAAAGGCAAGTGTTATTTGGTTGCGGTTTATTCAAGCATGCCCTTTTAAATTTTATCACACGTTGATTGTTATACTGTGTTCATTACAATAATTAGAATGTACACACGCCAACTTAATTAAACTCCCAAACAAAATCATCATTTTTTTCTAAATAAAGATAGCACAAAATCTCGGATCATTTAAGTTTGCGGAGTTAAATTTATATGTACCACTATTGTGATTTCCTATTACTTTTGTTGAGGATAATTTTTTTCCATAATAATAACAATAAGCCACAATGAAACACAAAATGATAATTTTTTTATGGGCTTAAATTAAAATTTGTCTAATTTTAACTCACAGGATGATCTATTTTTATCTCTTTTTGTAATCAGTCAATGATAATAAATGTCGGGGTGAAGATGAAATTAGCATCCCGTTGGCTGATCCTCTAATTTCATCGGCATCAGCCACTAGGGTTAGAGTTCGGGATTTGTTCTTTTTTAGTAATTTGGGACAATTTGAAACGTATAATAAAGAGGTAAACCAATCAAATCGCAAGATATGAAATATTATAACATTTCAATTACGGACGCGAAGTTTAATAGTTTCGTGAGAAACATTTTTTGTTACAAAATCAAAAAAAAATAATCCTTCAGTTTTGTAATCCGGTTTGTTTCGTTACACATTGATCTTTCGATTTTGATTAAAAAACCACCTTTTTTTGAAGTATCATTACGTCTTAATCTAAAATTACATAATCAATCGTAGCACAAATAACGAAAAACAAAAATCTCCGAGGTGAAAACAACTCTTACTAAAATGGGAAAACCCCTGTTATAATGCGATCGAGTTTTGACAGTATACTCAAAACTTCCTCATTATTATGCAAAAAAGTATGCGTTTGATTTAAACAAATGATTATTAAAGAGGTTAAGTTTTTCTCTAATTTTTAAAAAAATTAAAAATCAGTTAGTTAATACTCACAACTAAATAATAAAAGAAACTCATGTAATTCACCACCCCTTTGAGATTAATTTTGGGAGAAATTAAATACATGTTCTCGACTGTTTATTACACAATATCATGTGTATGCATATGTGAAGTCACATTTAACTTATGTAACATACAATTTTGCCTATTGTTGCTACTATCGCTATTGTTAAATGCAATATATTAATTATTTCGTAACCATTTTAATGATCAAGCTAAAAAGAAAATGTTGAATGCAATTCTCATCATTTTTATATTCTTCCTTGTTACATTTCTGAAAACTAAAGATTTCTTTACTGTTCTTCCGAATCTTTCATGCAACAGCATAACAACAACTGATGAAAGACCAGTTTTTGAGAAAAACATTACTCAATGTACTCGAATTCCGCCGCGTCTCTTAACGCCGGAATCTGTTCACGATTTACGTCCGGATGATATCAAATACGTTATGGCTTTAGGAGATAGTATAACGGCTGGATTCGCTGCAAAAGGACGGCTGTGTAATGGTAGTCCATTAACTTTGCGTAATCTAAATGAGAATCGCGGTGTTAGTTTCGCGGCTGGCGGAGATGAAAATGCGGAAACGATACCAAATTTTATTAATTTTTATCGTGGGGATGTTGTTGGTGCTTCTGTCGGTGATCACTTAGTTGAAGTTTGTGCAGGTATAAGAGAAGAAAGAGAGGCGAAATATAAAATGAAATTATTAGTTTTCATACTTTTTTTCTCTAAAATAAAGGCAAATTATGCCCAAAAAATCAATATAGACCTGAAGTGGACCGTCTAAATGCAGCACAATCGGCAGCGAGTGTAGTAAACCTTTTACATGAAGTGCAGTATCTCTTAGAGCAATTGAAAAAAATGCCAGCTGATTTCACTAAAAGTTTCAAGGTATTTTGAACTTTCGAAGAGATGACTTTGACATTAAAGAATATAATGATTTTGTGTAATTATAAAATAGTTCATGAACCTATTAATTGGTGCCAACGACATTTGCAATATTTGCACTACTGAAAAAGCTTCACCGCATGAATTCGAATCAAATCTCCGTGCAACACTGGAGATTATCGAACAAAATGTTCCAAATACTATTGTTAATATAATGGGACTTTTTAACGTTTCACAAGTGTATGCTTTCTCTAAAGGGAAGAGTTATTGTCGATGGTTGTATGTGTTGCCGCAGGTTCAGTTTGGTTGTGCATGTGCTTTCTTACCTGGTAATTAAAAGAACATCAAATATTTATATTATTTTAAAGGAATTTTAATAAAAATGATTAATTTCAAAGGACGCCTTGGAGAGATTAATCGCGCACGAATGGATGAAATCACCATGAAATACAATCAAGCTATTCAACGAATAATAGATGATTATGCTTCACGTCCACCGAAACCTTCTTTTGGTCTTATTTATCAACAATTTAATCTTAATTTAATGACTTTTCCTATAGAAGCAGTTAGTAATATTGATTGTTTTCATCCAAGGTAATGGGATTTTTTTTATTTCGTATTCGACTATTATTATGCAGCAACTTATTGAAATGTGTTCTTCAAAATATTGCTTCTTAGCTTGCTTTCACATCAGTATACCGCAAAAGTCATTTGGAATAATTTACCAGTCCCGCAATTTTCGCGTAATCCTGATGTTGTTTGGGATCCTGACCTGGGTACACGCTGTCTTATGGAAGATGATCGTATTCGTACAATACATGACAAATCTTGAAACGTTAGAAATTTCACACATCTGTTAAAGTTTAGCCCACATAGTTTGGGCAACATGCATAATGGATTTGTCATTCCCATTTGGTACTGTATCAATTTAAACGTTATCGAACTTACTTATTTTGAATATATTTTGGAATACTGAGAGATCGGCCGATTTGATTTTTTTACATGTATATTGCTGGTTATCATAAAATACAAATCAATTGAGCCGATAATATGTTGTGCCCCAAATAACAATTGTCCCAAGACAACCGGCCTAAATTAGAATAGAGGTATGACCAGAACTAGAGTAAGGATATGGATTAGTGGTAGGCGATTGTTTATGTTTAGGATTTTGATTTCAGATTGTCATTTGAAACAGGTTGTGATTTTGGGCACAATAGATATGTATTATCAAGAGACGAAATTTAAGTACTGAATCACTAAAATTACTTGATCGGATAGAAGTAAGCAGTTTGCTATATTTTTAATTGAAAATGTATCAAGTTTTGAAATCTCGTTTTTTGCCACTTTATTTACAAATAACTTTTCAAAATTTTATTATTTATTTGTTCTTTAAGACCATAATTATGTTAGGTTTATCAAAAAGGTAAGTTCAAAGATCACACATAAATCTATTATTCTTTCGAATCAAAAATGGTTCTTTGAAGAGCATATTCAAATTTTTTATTCAAATTCCCAATTTCAAGTTTTCGGAATATATCTTTTTCATAAAAATTAGTTCACCAGAAATTCAGTAGTCTCCATTTGATAGCTCAAAGAATAAAACATATTAATCATCTATATTTTTAATAGAATAATAAACTTTTATCTCGGGTATTGGATGTTTATTAAATATCTATTGTATATATAATGAATTGTTATTTTATAATACAATGTTTTGGTCTTCAGTAATCTAATTCAAATAAATATAGTGCCATTCAGTTATTTTATCAAATTAATCAAATAACAATATATTTATTCAAACTGGATTATAATTTTCTCATATTTTTTATCAAATTTGCAAAGATATTAGTATAAATTTATTTATTTTATTATTTTTTTCTTGTTTTTTCATTATATAATGAATTATTATAATAATTTATTCTATTTTCACTATAATTAATAATGATATTTTCTGTAATTTTATATAATTTATAGAAAAATATCATTTTTTTCTCTTTATACTTATTTTAATAAATATTATAAATTATAATAAATATTATAATAAAAGTTATTAATTTGCTAGTTATTTTGCTTCTATTTTTAAAATTTAAAATTCTAAAAATTCAAAAAAGCAAGAAATAATTATAATATTACATTATTATCTCTTTCTTTATTATTTTATTATTATTATTATTATTATTATTATTATTATTATTATTATTATTATTATTATTATTATTATTATTATTATT